CATCTACATGTAAATATATTCTGGTTAACTTTAATATTCCTTGCCATATTACTGTTAAATTAATCACATGCAATGTGTAACAAGCTAGCTGTTTACACAGAAAATCCCATCTTTGAAATTATATAGATTCTTAACTGGCCAACAAATTAAATTAAACAATAAGTAGCTATTTGTTAAAACAATTCCTTCTTTTTTTTATAATTAAAACAGTCGAGTGTTATATGATCAGTGACCTAATGAGCATTTTTGGACAGCAACCCAGTAGAATTCACTCTTGGGTTTGAGCACAAAACAATGCTGACTTCAATTATAAATCGAATCATGATCATGCAGTACCAGTACATTTATGTCCATCTTTTGTCTGTTGATACGATTAAAATAACTGTATGCCTTTTCGGAAGAATATTAGCTTCTTCATGGTGATTCGTGAGATCAGAATACAGGCATGTGTTGCTTTGAAATTTGGTTTTTCACCTTCTCTCACTCTTTGAGTATCGAAAAGAAAGATAAAGAAAAGCAAGGATGGAATCACCGAAATCAACGCCGTTTAGGCTGACGTGCACAGCTACATGCATGGAATAAACATGGGTTTACCAATTCCCACCACCGTATCGTTTTGCTGCAGGTTCGGTAGAATTTCCTTGTGTCTTTTTATTAATTTGTAGTTACTAATACCTAATCACATAAGAAAGTTTTATGAACAGACCAAGACAAAAAGATCATGAAAATAGGAAAGAATTAAGACGGCTGGCTATATTCGAAACTCACAACGACTACATATATGGTCAAAATTCCAATTCAAAAGCTAATACTCAACAAGTTATTTATTGGTGAATTTAAATTAATGGGTACTGGACCCTTTTTGGAGAAGCTTAATTTAAAGCGACGTTTTGTATCGCAAAAGAGTAACGTTCACTGGTACCCATTCGCCACCAGAGAAGAGGGTCAACAGTTCACAATGGCTATTTCAGTGACTACGGCAGGCATCCACCTCCAAGTAATCAGTGGACAATTATGTATTTATATAAATGATGAAATTCGAAGGATTTACCTGCAATAAATTGATTTAAAGTTGGATGAAGTCAGACAGCCTAGAACCTGTATTCTTGTCTATTTTTGTAGAAAATTTGAACGAACTAAATAAGTACAACAATCTCATGTCTTGAGACTGAAAACTTCATCCTTTTACAAACCAAGGACATAAATGCAACTGTATATATGTCTATCAAGTATACTTGTCTCTACTTCGAATATTCAGTCACAATATAATTAACTACTTTCCAAGAAAATTTATTATTAGTGCTAATTAACAAAAAAAAAAACTAAAAAAAGTAGGCTTTTATTGCTTACTTTCCTCACAAAATACTTTCTACTAGAATAAAATTTTGTTATTTTATGCTTTTTTTAATATATAATTTATGTTTTTATTTTTTTTCCTTTTCTTTTATTATTTAACATTATATTTTTTTGGAGATTAAATTTCATAATTTTCTAATTTACTTTTTATAAGATTATTCTAGTCTCATTACCTAGACTGATAATTTGATGGGTTAACTCGAGTTTTTCTTCTTTTTTTAATTAATTTTTTTTAATTTTATCATTTAAAATTAAGCTAATTAAGAATTAGTCCTTTTGATTTGTTTTGGTTTGTTTTCTATAGAATTATCCTTATTTAATGACTCGGGTCACATGTTTATTAACTCAAGTTGACCCAAACCCTTCTTGTGTCCTGTTTTTAGTCAATTTTTTAATTTTAATTTTATCATTTGACATTAGTTTATTGAGATTAAGCTTTAAGATTTTTTTTAATTTATTTTTTATAAGATTCTTATAATTTCATGATCCAAACCACTAGTTTGATGAGTTAAATTGGTGGACTCAAGTTTTTTTTCTTTTTTTCTAATTATTTTTTAATTTAATCATTTAACAATGAGTTGATTGAGAATTAAGATTCATAATTTATTTTGGATTTCTTTTTATAAAATTATTTCAGTTTCATGACTTAGGCCACAAGTTTGACTTATTAATCTAGGTTTATTTGAGTTAATTTTTATTTTTTAATTGATTTTTTTCAATTTTATTTGTCACTTAATTTTTTACAGCATCTTAGTATAGTAGATATTTTATTTTGCGATCATATATATTTTTTATTATGTAGTTAAATAAAAAATAGTTTTGAAAAAAAAAATCTTACAGAAGTCTATAACTTGATTCACAGGTTTGACATGTTAGCTTCGGTTACCCAGTTTATAGGTTTAATGAGTTCACCTACAACTTGGATATTCTTTCTTAGTTTTTAGTCTGTTAATTATTTTTAATAGTTTTTTTATTTTATCTTTCAATATTAAATTGGTTGAGAAATAAACTGTATAATGTTTTTTCTTTATTTAGCGTTATCTCTATCTCAAATAAGTTTTTATTTTTAAGTTGGTGTTCAATTTTATTAGCATATATTTTTATTATATAATTAAACAAGTAATTCAAAAAAAATAAATTATTAAACTCAATGGAGTCCATGACATAATTTGCTTGGGGACTAAGATCGATTTAATCTATCATTGTCTCAATAGTTTTAATGAAGAAAATATTATCTTAAAATTTTGTTAAAAGTTAAGTCATGTTTTTATCAATCATTAAGATTGTATTTTAATCCATGAAATAAATAAATTTAATTTTGAATAACGCTTGTGTAATTTAGTTTAAAACTCAAGTTAAAGAAAGAGTTAGGTTACAAAATTTCAAGATTGAGCCACTAAGTCAAATTTAATAACACAATCAACAAAATCTTCATGTTCTTAATATTTTTTTATATTTTTTAAAAAGTTATTGAACCCGTGGCAAAGTTCATGCCCATAGACTAGTTAATTACTAAAAGAGATCAAGGACAAAAAAAAAGAATAAAAGTAAATTAATCTTAAAAGAGCTGATCGAGGACAAAAAAAAAAAAGTAAATTAATCTTAAAAGAGCTGATCTAACAATTGAATTTTCTATCAAAGAAAATAAAAACAATAAGATTCGATTTGTTTAAATTACATAACGTCCAATTGAGGTTTTAAAATAGAAAATGAAGCATTAAAAATTTGGTAGATTAACCTGAGTTAATTTGAATAATTTTTTTAGATCCTTTATTTAAGTGAATTTTTTTATCAATTTTATTTTCAACATCAAGTTTTTGTTGGATTATAATGATCTTATGATTTTTTTAAAAAAAATTATCATGGTCTTATGACCTGATATGTAAATTAGCTGGTTAACCTAAGCTAAGCTAAGTAATCGATTTAATATGTTGTTGTCTTGATATTTATAAAAAAAAAATTATTTTAAATATTTTTTTTTGAGATAAACTATGTATTTACCAGTTATCCTACTTTTAGATTTATTAAGTCAACTATATCACCTTAAATTAATTTTTCACACAATTTTTATATTTTTTTATAAAAAACATTAGCAAAGTCTTGATTTTTTTAATTAAAAAAAATCAATTTAACCCGTAGCACGGGGGAATGATGTAATGAGATATCTGCATGAACTAAATTGATCGGTTATATAAAAGGAGCGGGGGAAACAAAAGAAAAACTGGAGAAAAGAATAATCGAAGTTGAAATTAGCATGTATAAAATATCTTCAATGAATCATATTCCCCAATCCAATCAACATTGTCCTCGTTAGCCACAGATTGAATTATGCCCTTCTGCTTCAAATGAAAATCTACATGCAGCAGCTACAAGATCTGTCAAGCCAATGAATGCATATCGGATCTTAGCTGGCACTAGAGCCTAGAGAGGAAATTCCATTTTTTCTTTGTGCAGAAATGAAAATGAAATTTCGTTGGAGAGATGGGGACGACGGGCTAGCACCTAGCTACATATCCTCACCAGGCTGAGTGAACTGAAGGTGACGGACTGGTCCCGAACTCCCGCAAACATTATTAACCAGACCAGCAGTCCCGAACTCCTGCAAGCAAACATTATTAACCAGACCAGACCAGACCAGTCCCTTCTCTCTCTGACTTGAATTTGTTGGAAGGAGATGGTACATTTACAGTTCTTTTGCCCCCCCAAGAACTGAGAGCAGTGGAGCCATGAATATTTAATCAGAGAGGGCCGTATGCTGTAAGAGTCAAGGAGGCCATCTCTAAAAAAACAAAGTGTTGAGAGGTTATGTCTGGTGCATAATTCGCCGTGTGACGAAAGTTGTGATCTTACTTATTGGTGGCGTACGATCGGGATTTAATATAGCTTCTATAAATTCAGCAACCCTCTTGATGAAGTTTTGGATCGATATCACAGCAAACTGTAATGTAGTGCACCTAATTAATTTCACAGGACCCACATTCAGAGTAGATCATGTGACTGCAATCAGTTGTTGGGGACTGCAGATTTAACACGAGGGATTTTTACTCTATCATGTGAATGAAAGCTTTAAAACAGTGTTTTTTTACAGTTTTGTTTTTCCCATAAAAATAAAAAATTAAAACTCACTATTCAAATCTTTTAACTATAATCATTATTCATTATTAAATTAATAGATGAAAAAATACATAGCTAAACAATTAAAATATCATTAGAAGCTAAAAATTTATAAATTAATTTCAAGAGGCTATTCTCTGTATTTTTACAAGGATTTTTTTTTGTTATTATTAGGTTAAATAACAAACAATTTGATTTAAAAAATATATAAAAATTAATGAGAGAAAGAAAAATAGAAAATAGCTGGTACGAGCAACACAAAACAAACTTTAAAGAGTGTTTTGAATTATGATACAGAATATGTTTTTAAATAATTTGTTTTTCTTGAAAATGCTGACAAACACCACCTTAGTTTTCACACGGGTTATTCAAGAAAGGCCGGCTTTTCTTTTTTGGTGCTAATAAGACTTATGGGCAGCTTTCTTCCTTGAAGAAAAATCCAGGCCCAAGATCAGTCGAATAAAAAAGCCCATCAATTGGGCCCTTTCCTTTGTACATCAACTAAGCCGGGCTCCGAGTGGTATTTTCGTGTTCTTCCTCCTCTCTTCTAAATTTCGATTCCTTTTCTGGATCTCACAACCCGAAGACGAAGAGAGACACAAGTTGATAGAGAGATGACACTGTTTCACTTCTTCAACTGCGCGATTCTCACCTTCGGCCCTCACGCCGTCTATTACTCCGCCACTCCCTTGTACTCTCCCCTCTCAAAAGAGTCTTTTTAAATTCCAATAATCATCATGCAGAAAACCCATTATAATTTCTGATTTATTTTAAATAATTTTTTGGTAAAATTAAATGTTTACAGGTCCGAGTACGACACACTTGGTACTTCTGTTAAAGCTGCTCTTGTTTATCTTGGAACTGCTTTGGTTAAGGTTTGAAGAGTCCTTTAATTATGGATTTTATTAATTTTAATTCAATGTTGGGATCTTTTAGCTAAGATTTCTTTTTATGTATGTTGGCAGCTGGTTTGCTTGGCAACCTTTCTTAAGGTGTCTGAGAATGATAGCTTTGATCCGTATCAGGTGCTCTTTTTTTATGTATAGATGAATTTTTAACAATTTTGAAGTTGAGATGGAGCAATTTATATTTGTCTTTGATTAGCTGAATTTTGCTGTATAAGAAGGCTAGAGAGTGTTAAAGAGGAAATAAAATGCTTAGATATGAAGGTAATGAAAACTGATTGTGTTGTCTTACGATCACCAAAGATATGCTTGTGAGGCTGCTTATCAAGTTCTGTTTATGAAAAATAAAAACTTTCCTGGAGCGATGAAAAAAAAAAACAGAGAAAGGAGAATGATGTAGCATTTAATATCTTTTTTACTGGCCTTCTTTTATAATTTCTTGTTTTAAATTCATCATATCGTTAAATTTCGCTGTTGAGATGACTAACAGGCAAACTTATTTTCTTTTCACGCTAGTTGTGCTTGACTGCTTGCTCTTAAAGTTTCTCCTGCTTTCTGATAAGACGTGTATTCTGATTTGGGAATCGCTAACACCGCCTATATGCAGGAACTACTGAAAGCACTTATTGGATTTATAGATGTTGCTGGGCTTTACTTTGCCTTGACCCAATTGACTCATAGGAACATCTCCCAAAATCATAAATTTCAAGCTGTTGGACTTGGTGAGTATAACTTGTCCAAGTCATATCATTTGAATGGCAACATTCTTTTCCCTTCAAAATAAAGCTGAGTTACTGCTTTGAATTGACACTGAATTCCTTCTCCAGAATCTTGCAACAGATTCTTTTATAATTTCTTCAGAAACTTATGGCCTCAACTTGAGGTATACTCCCTTAAGAAAAAAGGGTGCCGAAAACCATAGTTTGAAAAATAGCAGCTGAATTAGGGCGCTTTTTTTTTTTTATTGTTATTGTGTGTTAGTTTCAACTGTTTCCCTTATTTCTTCATGGGCATTTGCCCTTTTCTTGACCCTTTTCCTCTTGTTGATCCTGATCCTTCAGAATTTTTTCAAACCACTTGTGTTTTTTTCTTTTTTACATGAAAAATATAGAAACTACAACTGGTTTGTGCTGCTGTAAATAATAAAGAAGAAAATTAACGGTATTGTATTTATACATGTTCCAAATCTTGATAATCTCTTGTATTCATGCTCGCATGCAAAAAGGAGTGGTTGATCTCATAAATCCATCATCATGGTTTTCTTTTCACTTGGCCTTAGTTATGCGAGCTTAATCTTTATAAGCTTTACAACATTATTTCCCCATTTGCAGGATGGGCTTTTGCTGATTCTGTTTTACATAGACTGGCACCTCTGTGGGTGGGATCTAGAGGACTAGAATTCACATGGGATTACATTCTGCAAGGCCTTGAAGCAAACGCAAACTTGGTATGTTTGTTTTCTTGCTAATCTCTGTTACTGCTCGTCATATAATTTGCTTAGATTAATTTGAAACTTCGAAAGATAAAAAAAATTGGGATTATACATGTATGATATTTGTAGTGGATTTTTCTTCTCATCTGTTAATTTCAGGTGTTGAGTATATCTCTTGCTGCTTTGGGATCTCTGATGTGGCTTCGGAAAAATAAACCCAAGACTTTGATTCCCATCATATATGCATGTGCGGGAATTGTGGCAACCATGCCATCTATCACAAGGTTTGCTACTCATCCTTCGTTCTTTGCATAATGTCAAAAGGTCATGTTTGTGTGTGCACGCGATATTTGAGCTATATAGCAATTTAGAAAAATGCATTAGATTCAACAGTTACCCTACGATTGGAGGGTATAAAAAATCAGAGAGGCGGAACACTAGGTGTTTGTGTCAATTGTTTCTTAAAACCTTGTAAAAGTTGTTCTTGGAAACTGTGTTCTCTTTGCATGTGTAATGAAATTGCATTTGTTACAACCCCAAAGATGATAGCAAAAAGAGAATCATGAATTTTGTATGTTTATGGTTTCATTCTTGGGTGTCTGGAATAACAACTTGCACTGAGCTTATTCTTTCATCCGTCTTGCTAAATTATGGCTTTTGCAGCTATTTGAGAAGAGGATTGGGGTGGCATTTTCCTAAGGTGGTAGGCTTTGAACTGTTCACCTCTCTGATGATGGCTTTTATTAGCTGGCAGCTCTTTTCTGCATGTCAAAGACCCTCTTCTTGAGGCAGTCCAGTAGCTTCTCTAACAGCAGATAGTTTGGCTGAAGAAAAAGCTCTCGAAGCATATTGCTGTTAATTATCACTGCCGATTGTTGCCTCAAGAGGCTGTTGTGTTGCTTTTAAATTGCCAGTCTCTTCTATATAACCTTCAGAAATTATTGAGAAACAATTTTGACTTGCACTGGACTTGGTCTTTTTTCCTCCCGCCATCTGACTCAAGAGTGATTCCTAACACCACGGAATTAGTTGCTCGCTATATTGTCCTGAGACTTGCTTGTCCTAATGACTCAACAGGAAGGTTTGAAGCCTTGGCACTCATTTATGTCACTAGCTCAAAACGGTGAATGTTCAGAAAGATAATAAAACTTGCATTATCGGGTAATTGAGTGTCTTTTGTAAGCTTGTTACTTGTTCCTAACCGGACAAGTTGCACCCTTTTTTTTTGTTTTTTTATCTCGGGTAAAGGAGTGGTTTGATACACATCTTAAACAATACACTCACTCGTTTTCCTCAACCCACGCTTCAGTTCGGAGTACAAGTCCAACAGCAACCCCAACCAAAATAAGGTCGTTCATGATTGCAGCCATCCTGAATATCTCACCCACATCACTGCATTAGAGGAGAGTGCACCTCCAACTCTTCCGTGCATATTTGACGCTGCTCTCAACGAGCCAACCACTTCTGCAAAGCACTGCTCGGTGTTGACCGGCATGCTCAGAGCAAGGACACTGTTGCTGGCTTTTAAACCTCCATAGGGATTCATTCCTACAACGTCAACCACCTTGTTCGTTCTCCGGGGAATCTTGCTGCCAAAGTTCATGACTGCACCGGTTATCGTTGCAGGAGCAAAGGCAGCTGCTGCTGTTGCCATGTCTGAAATAAGCACAAGTTGGAAGTTACATAGCTTTCGAATTTAATAAGCTAACTGCATTGAATCAGAATTGCCAGATAAAATGTTGAAATTGAGGAGGGGGTTAATGGGATTTGCCTATATCTTGGATTGGAGAAGCTTGCAAGAAGAGAGGCAAGATGGAGCGTTTTTGTAAAGGGATGAATTTGGACCAGGTGAGAAATGCTATGGTTAGGAGCCACGAGGAGAAAGTGGAACTAGAGCCATAAAGAGGCAAAGCAAATGCTCACGTTTGTATACTATAGACCACACAAGCCCATGAAAGAGCTCGTCACTGGGCACCATTTTTTGTTTAAATAAGTAGCCCTTGGCCACTTTCCCCTAAACTCGGTATGTAGCAACACACCGTAGTGAACATGGACAAGGGCCCATGCAACCCATCAAGCTATCGTGACTTGAGCACAACTGATACGTGGGCTAAAACAAGTGTCAATGGTACATTAGAATGAAAGAAGAGCGTGGCAAAGCTAACTAGATGTTCTTCTCCCCCCCTTAGTTACTGGATAACACCTAAACGGGAATCTAACCAGAAGGCAAAGTTACCCTTCCCCCCATCATACGCTGAGCTTATTGGTCATCAAAGGTCCTCCATGGATTCAACAGAACAAAAGCGATCGATCTATGTACAATGGTCATAGATCATAGAACCAAGGAGGCATGGCAGACAGCGACGAGTTGTAATAGCCGTACGCCAACTCGGACACGAGTCAGCAATTGTTAAAGTTTACACACTCGGAAGTTTAGCTAAATCTCTACATTAGTCAACAACTCAAATCATAAAAAGATTTGGGTTGTTTTCATCCCAGATGACCAATGTGCCTTGCTTCATCCTTGATGATTCACAAATGACCTTCAAGGTCGCTAGAGAACACGAAAGATATTAACATCGAAGACAATAGAATTGTTCACTGCGCTGCTAGGTTCAAAAAGGCACACATCAAACTCCTGTAATTTGTTATCCAAAGCAAAATTCCTCCACCCAGAAGAAAGCCCTCCGCTGTTCTTAGATTTACAGTATAAAAACTTGGTGTTCCACGTATTTTCTTTCATGCGAAGAATCACGTCTTTCTTTTCCAGAGTTCTGAAATGTCTATTCGCCCATCCGGAAGGGATTACCTGAATGAAGTAGCATCGTAAGTATAATAAGACCAAACTTCAAAGCTGCCTATCAATCCTGACACTGCAAACAATTTACAATTTACCTCTGGATAAAAAGAAAACAGGGACATTGAAATGAAATAGAAAGAAATTCAAACAGATGATAACAAAAGAAGATATTTGTACCATGTAAAATTTCCTGTATACATGTGTTGGTTTCATAACCACAACGAAGCCCTCGTTGGATTGTGCTGCTTGTGCTAACCGCAATGCATTGAGTTTGTCTTCCTCTGTTACCATCCTTCTACTTGATACATATGGCGCGTTGATAGCTATATGCTCAACATCTGACTCGTTTATAAACAATAAAAATTTAAGAGGCAAGAAATTCCATCAACCACACAATTCTACGCATCTAGCTAAACAGAGAAACTTCATTCATTAACCATACATCTAACATCTATTAAAGAAAAAACAACGGACTTGAGAACATTATAACTGGTAAAATGGCGAAAATGAATGAGGTGGTTTGATAAATTAAATAAATAGAAACAAATTTCAAAATAAACGATAAAGAAACCTTGAAAATACTGAAGAAAAATATTTCAAATTAAACACAAAAACTGCCGGTGTCAGTTAAACAATAGGAGAAGCACATACAGAAGAAAAAAAGTGAACGCGAGAAAGCAACTTGTGTGATTTTCCATTAGGAAGGCAAGCTTAGAAGATGGATGCTTAGCAAGGCGCTGGATTAACCAGTTATATTTCCTACACCGAGAACACCAATAGATAGCTACCAGAACAAGCCTAGTGAATGCCCACGCGGTGAGCCATTATTCATTCATTACATGAAGATACATTCTAAATAACAAAATTACAAGTACTCACCAGGTTTAGTTTCTGTTGCCTCATCAGTAGAAGAAGATTCTTCATCTCTCACGCTCTGCTTAGTTTGGGTCGGCTTACTAAACTTGATTTCCCTCTGAGTCTTTTTATTAATAGCTTCTGAGATAACAGTGTTTTCTACAAGTGTTTTGTAAATATAATCATTTGCAGATTTCTCTGCAGTGCCTCCAAGACTATCCTGGGGGCAGGCAATACTAACTTCAGTAGAATCTTCTACAGTTTTCCTCTTTGCATGGACAACACTGTCACGTTCTCGGTGCCCACATTTTCTGACAAAATATGAAGCTGCCTTCTCACACAAGCTTTGTCCATCAAAAATTACAACTTCAAAACATGACTCCCGGTTGTACTTGAAGATCAACAAATCTTTTTCCTCCAGAAAATGGTCCTTTAAAAATTCTTCCCAGCCATTTTTGAAGAACATGGTGTCATCATCTGTAGTCAGTTCAACTGGCCAAGTACCGCCACTAGGACCTTTAAGCATTACATTTTCGGGCAATTTCTTTTTCAAATGATTAGAAAATTTTTCAGGGATCGGCTGCAATTTAAACACAGAGTGGCAATATGGCCAGCTATGATTTAGCATCGTGAGTAAAAAATATATCGGCCATGATCACATATCATTCCATATCCTTGATGAAAGTTAAAAATATTAGTTATAAAATATTGTCACATAAACATTTAAGTTTCTAGAACATCAAATTTATTGAGGCCAAAATAGTATAGTCCAAGGATTCAATTGCTAGAATCCAGATGCATATGAAACGTAAAAGGAAGCTCAGAAAACAGTAAGGGGACTAGAAGGAAAAGAGTATCCACAAAATGATTCAAATAAGGGACAGCAAGGACCTAGATATGAATCACGTTACGCATTTCAACAAGCAGGATTGCTAGTTTTTGGCAAGGGGCCGCGAAATTAAGAAAAGGAAGAAAGTTATTTTATTCAATCCTTTAATGCATCAAACTTTTAGGGAGTAAAATTTAGTTCGGTTGAACACAATTCAACGGCAAGAGCAGAAAATGTTACTCATTTGTGAACTTAACATCACTTATATATAGACAAGAAACTTTGCCAGCATTAGTGAAATTAGCCACTTGTCCCAACTCATTTTCATGCAAATGTTACGAGACAAAACCAGATAACCCCTGAAAATTCGTTTAATAATGGGCTATTATCGCATCGTGACAAAACCACAATTAACTTAAAAAACAGACAAACCCCTGAAAGCCTAAAACTAAACCACAATAGGAAATTAGACAAAACACCTGAAACCCTAAACCCAGAGGATCATAGCTAAGAGAACTTACAAGATGATGACCAAAACTAGCATCGAGAATCTGCGAAAAATGGGTGCACTGGAAATGGGTCCAATACAGTTCCTCTTCCTTGCTTCTGCAATCTACACATGTTTCTTCTCCCATTCCCACTTGCTGAACTTAATGGAGTTATGGATATCAGAAAGTGACTAGAATGAGCCAAACAAATCTTCAAAATTAAGAGGGGCTGTAAATTTATTCATAAGTACTTTCTTTTACTGCAAACAAACAACATTATGGGACTTTTTACGGTTACACAACAACCACTACTACTACTACTGTCTTTCGTATAAATGCGTTCGATAATTTTGGGTAAAAAGATAGGAGGGAGAAAGTGTGAGAAAGATGGACAGCGAAGGGGACAAAATTTTGGAAGAACTAAAGGCCGAACGAGAAGTCAGTGCTGAGAGAGAGAGAGAGTTGCATTGACAAGACAGGACATGAAACGAAGTGCCAACAGGTGTTGCTCGCTCGGATCCTTGGGCCTTGGGATTATTCGTTCGGAATCCCTTCCTGTCTCTTTGTTAATTTCAAAGTGTTTTTTTTTTTTTTTCAACCTGTTTTTCGAGTTTTGTTTTTGTTTTCTTAGCAAAGTTAAGGAAAAAAATAATAATAAAGAACACAGTAGAGGAAATATTTTGGAGGTCTAGCAAGTTTCAGAGTGGTAAATACACGCGAGTCCTATATTATTTGTTAGTTGTATGTTACAGTTTTTTATATTAAAAAAAACTAATAAACCGTTGTAATATTGAATATAAAAAATAAATTAAGAAAAATATTTCTTCAAATAGAAAAAAAATAGAAAAGCATTATAATAAATAACAGGAAAATAAAAATAAAATAAAATAAACTAAAAAATATTTTTTTTCTTAAAAACCTCCTACATTATTTTTTGGCTAGCTTTAATGGAAATATTTTATACCTTTCACGTCAATGTAGAATTCAATAAATTTTAATCATAACAAATAGTATTAAACTTACATTCTGAATCTTCTATTTTTAGGGATTTGTGGAACTGCGAGAGTTTTTTCCTTTCTCTAATATAATTTCTT